TCCCTGTGTGGTATAAGACCTACATGTCCCTGTGTGGTATAAGACCTACATGTCCCTGTGTTCCATTTATTTTAAAGCTGAACTTCTCTTTGCTTTACTAATAACTCGTAAGATATGGAATTATTTGTATATTCTCATAGCTGTTGATAATTTTTATGACTTTTGGGGCGTAAGTGTAGGAAGGCAAGGGCTTGAGCCCACCCATCTGTACACGTCACTGTAATCTCACTAATTACAACTGTAGTTTTTCCATTTGGTCAATTTTTGTGGTTAGTTCTTTACTCTAAGTGTTATAACGGGCACCAACATAAAATGACTTGGTATTATGTAATATGTATAGACCCCACCGGTACCGAACGGTATGAAGCGTGGAGGGTGTTAGAGTCAAATGAGTGTTAGATGCTAATGTTGACTAGCAGATTTCCCTCTTTAGCTTCAAAAGTAGGGACGACTAGCACAGATAGCCCTCAAATAGCGTGAAATTCAGCAAAAAAATCTTTATTTCTGAATATTTAACAAACATAAAACTTGTAAGATGTTCTAGTAAGTTGTAAAACACAAGCGGGCAACATTCTTGTGGTAAATCTAAAAAAACGTTGGAAACACATTTGAGTGTTAAAGTGTCAAACCGTCTGTAATTGGTTAATCTTTTACCTAGACCCTACCGCATTGGTGAGTCCGGAGATGTAACCTTAAAGTGGCATTCGTTAAACTTGATGCAGTGGTCTCTGAACTGAGATGACTCACACGATTATACCCGAATCCAAAAGGAACATACACTTTGATATGAATTACGAAAATATTATGTTTTAAACCTTAATTTTTTATCATAGTCCTTACTCGACTATTGCTTAAAAGGTTTATAATTGTTTAAACATTGACGTTACAAGATATTTATACCTTATCTTCTAAATGTTCTTAAACAATTTTTTTTCACTCAGAAACAAACAATAAATTATCTGTATAAGTGAATTTAAAATAAAAGTACGTTTCACTTCTTGATGGATGGAGTCACATGAAAATACTTCATGATTTCTCCGAAAGGAGGCCAAATGCTGCCTGGTGGGATCACCTGCTTTAATCACTCGCATCATTATACAGTACTGTATTATCTGTCGGTCAGTCACTAGACACTAAAATGACGTTACGTAAGGGACGTTTAACGTTGCAATTTGTACTGTCGTGACGTCAATAAAACGTGCGTATGCCATGAATCACGAGAAGAGTTATGCACTGTGCAGGCTACAACACAGCATGACATATGAACTTCAAAAGCAAGCTATAAAAATATTTGTTACTCTTCATTTTGGTTTTATTTACTCTTGAAAGAGAACATTTTCGGGGACCCTGAGGAAGTACATCTAATTTTTAGCATGACGTTTTATCTTAAATCTAATCTGCCTTGGATTACAATTCTTTTCTATAAAAAAAAACAATCAGAAATCATGGAACTGCCTTAAAACGTCATGCTACGCATTTTTGGGGCCGTGGTTGCGTTATAAGAATGACAGTCAAATTCCACTCTTCAATTAGAGGAGCCCAAGTGTTAGCAATGTGGGCTGTTGACTAGCTGCCCTCTCTCTAGTCTATACGCATAAAATTAGAGACTGCTAGATACCCTTTGTTTAGCTTTGCACGATTTTCTAAAATAAATAATTTTAACATTATGAATTAATAAATCCTATCCTACACCAAGCTTCTCTGGAATACACAAAGATATGATCAAGGCTAGAATTTTGTTTTTAACTTTAAAAACTGCCAAACATTTACACCCTCTTTCTCTATACAACAGTCAGCATGTTAGTCACAACGATGTGTAGAACGACAGTTCAACTATAGGTTTAGTAGGCTCCTTATCTCCAAAACTGAATGACACAAAAGATCGGACACTCCTCCTAAGATCCACATCACAGGTGAACCATTGTCACGTGCTGAGATCAATTAATTATACATACTATAAGAGGTGTTATAATACTAAAATTATTAGTTTGATTCCAGCGGCACACAGTGCAGATAGCTTATTGTGCAGCTTTGTGCTTAAAGAAACACAAAAGTATTATAAATATATAAATATATTATAAGTTTGTTTATAATTAAGCACAAAGCTACACGATGGGCTATCTGTGCTTTGCCCACCACGGGTATCAAAACCCGGATTCTAGCGTTGTAAGTCCGCAGACATACCGCTGTGCCACTGGAGGGCTACGTATTATAAGAAGTATTATATTGGTCAGTTGTTTCGTAAGTAAAATAGTACATATTTTAGGTGTTGAATTATTAAGGAACTAATTTCTGTTTTCGGTTAAAAATCAAATATTACTCGTATACAAACATTTCATAACAACCCCTTCTTTTTCCTCATTTTCACTAACATGGTATCCTTACCTCCTGAGCCATTTCTGGACCATATACTGACATAGATGCTCCTCCGTAGTGGAGAGAGGTCATCATTTTGGCCGTACTCGGACTAGAGTTCTTGTTGGGGGAAGAAGACCGAGAGGTCGAGGGGCTGTTGTTCCATTTAGAAGCTGGAGAACCATTGGTTAACAAATCTTCTGCATGATTGGTATACCTCGGAAGTTTTCCGTCAAATATTGAAGCCCCATTATCATGGCCCCCATAAGGTCGACTAAAAGTGTTGCTCCACATTAGCACGCTTTGTCTCGTGTCGTTGTAAAAGGTGGACGGTTGAAAGGATTCGCTTTCAATTTTAATACTATCTTTAGAAATCTGCAGAGGGTCCCTTAGGTGATTAGGTATCGTCGTGGTTTTGGGTCGAATAACATTAATACAGTCCGTTTCTACAGACATTGGCACTCCAGCTAGGCTGAAGTTCATGGTGGGGTCCCTGTCTAACGAAGTTAATAAAGGCTGAATACCTGCCGTTGACGCACTCATGAGACGCCCCCTGAATTGAGCACCCGGATCGTTAGTTTTGGGGCGACCTTCACAACAAGATGGTTTGGCGCCTACTTGTTGCACCAGCTGGGAAACTTCTCCATTAAACTTTGTAACATCCAGTTGACAATGGTAGATCTTATTGTCTTGGTTGAGTTGAGAACCGTGCGGATAGGCGGCGGGGAAACACTTCCTTGCCGTAGAGCTCATGTCCAGAAATCCGTTAGTGGGATACTGAGCAGCGTGATAGTCTGGGTAGCAACCACCAAGGTGACGGTAATGAAGATAATTTTCGGGGTTTAGGAACCGGGTATTATCAATGCTTGTGAAAAGGTTCCGAGGTATCGCTGGCGCCGCGTAAGGTACAACCCCACTTACATTGTCCGTGGGGTAGACATTATAGTTAGGTTTTTCTAAGAAGGCGTCATGAGGAACTTTCCACTTTCGGCATGTGGAAATTAAGTCCCTAATTTGTGACTTGTACTTCCGGCTCCGCTGACAACGGAGAACAAGGTCGTTGTCTGACAGAAGGCCACTGCGGTCTGATAGGGCATCTAAACCTCCGTCCAAATACGTGACTTTAAAATCCATGGTCCTCCTTCCAAGGAGATCTTTACCTTCTTCTTCCCTGTAGACATGAAAACACATGTTAGGAACCGAAACTTCATATCTTCGCCATCAATACTTATGTACGATAATATAATACTAAATCACATCATTATAAGTATAAATAATTTACTATCATCGCCCTCAATAATTTGCTAAATAGAATTACCAATTATGAGCTAGCTCTAGAGTTAAATCGAAATAATTCCCCAAGAATCGTTTGTAACTACCATGGGCGTTTCTTGTCCCCCTCCCCCCGGGAAATGAGAATTATAATTATTTCTTTATTCATTCCACACATGTATATGATTCAATTCACAATTTCACACTGCTTTGCCCTCCCTCCCGGAAAACTTTGCCCCTCCTTGGAAAAATTTCTGCCCATGCTAATTTCTAAAGGATTCAAGAGACAAGACCTTGTCTGTTTGTTTGAAGTCAATCACAAAGCTACACAATGGGCTATCTGTGCTCTGCCCACCACGGGTATCGAAACCCGATTTCTAGCGTTGTAAGTCCGCAGACACACCGCTGTGCTACTGGGGTCCAAGAGACAAGACCTAACACTTAACATATTTATCGGTTCGAAGTTCAAACTGATTTGACCTCCAGTTTGCTGTAAGTGGAACTAACCAAAAACAAAATCACTTGATCAACGTTTATTATAACTGGAAAAGTTTTGTGCATCACTAAAAGGTTAAATTCCTGATAAATATTACAACTTTTAGCTGTTCTTTTAGTCCTTAAGTTCTATCAAATATCTCACGTATTATTCGTAAATAAATTAACTGAATGAAATCAATATGCATTTATACCAGTTATTGAGCCTCACAGATAAAAAGTTAGCTTTTCTGTGAGTCAAGTAATGTCTCAGATCAGTGGAGCCCCCACAGAGGGTTCCCGAGAAGCAAATTCTGGTATGTATTTTCTTTAGGGGTAGGGTGGTGGGGGCGTTAAGTGTAATGTTACTATATGTTAATATAATATAGGCAGATTCGAATTTGAAAACGTTAGTTTTTATTTATAGGCTACACGAAGTTTAAATGATAGGATGTGGTTAATTATTCAACTTTGTAGGGGACACGTGGGCCCGGCATGGCCAGGTGGTTAGGGCGCTCGGGGTTAGGGCAATCTGAGGGTCGCGGGTTCGAATCCCCGTCACACCAAACATGCTCGTCCTTTCAGAGAGGGTTGCATCCTTGACGTAAGAAACAGCTTTAGAAACGATGGCTGAACAAGATCTGCCATCGGCTCAACGGTCCGCAAGGACTATGAGAAATGAAAAAAAAAAAAGGGGGACACGTGAAGATTTTGGGGAAATTCCTCCTACGCTCTAAAGAGATGGACACCACAGACATAGATAGTTATTTTACTAAAAGCCAAACAGTGGTACTCTTCACCAAGCTCTTTCAATAAATAAATAAATTCATTAAGAGAATACCATAAGACGTATTACGTTAACAACAGAGTTAGTATATAGTATAGCGACAGTTTACTAATGGCGTAACATTTTGGGGTCAGGTAAGAAAGCATTATAAAGATGTGTAATATTATTTAAGTCCACAGAAAAGACCTAATTATTTTTAAACGTAAATTCAAAAAAACTTTATAAATTTTAGAAATAAAAAATATTATAATGATAAGGAATTGTATATTTTATTTTACCTTTGCCATACGAAATAAATAAGGACTACCCTCACATGATCTAATCGAATTCCTAACTGTATTAACCCTTTATAATATTCAGTTGCTTCTATAAAATAAGTCACAATATACTTTAAGCCTAATTTGGAATACACTTTACGTTGAGCAAATCTTACATTAGAGGCCTGTGTGTGCACAGTATGAAGTCTGGTTTACTGTTCTTATAAACTAGTCGAGCGCTGGACTGAACCCACTGGCACTTTCCATCCTTCGTCACCAACCTGTAAGCAATAAGGCCAGAAGCTCCAGTCTTCAGCACTAACAAAGAAGGAAGAAGAATCATCAAATGAAGACTGAAATATTGACTTAATCAAATTAAAGTTACTTCATCAATCTCACTGTGTTACTGTTGTTGTTTTTTCAAACGTCGTTGAGAATTATAATTACCCAAGATATCCTGTTTCTTAGATTTCTTGTTTTTCAACAATGGTTATGTGAAACGAGAACACTTTAAAATCGTCTTATTTCTCTTGTCGAAAACACTTTAAAGTCGTCTCATTTCTCGTGACGAGAACACTTTAAAATCGTCTTATTTCTCGTGTCGAGAACACTTTAAAGTCGTCTTATTTCTCGTGTCGAAAACACTTTAAAATCGTCTTATTTTTCATGACGAGAACAGTTTAAAATCGTCTTATTTCTCTTGTCGAGAACATTTTAAAATCGTCTCATTTCTCGTGACGAGAACACTTTAAAATCGTCTTATTTCTCTTGTCGGAAACACTTTAAAATCGTCTTATTTCTCTTGTCGAGAACACTTTAAAATCGTCTTATTTCTCCTTCTGCTTCGAGCGTTTGAAACTGTTCAGTTTCTTACAAATATTTAGTTCATTGGACGCGAAGTCAGAAACATGTTTGTAATTTTAAGAAAAAAAACTTTGATTAATGAAGTCGAACATTTTATCACAACAACTCAAGATTAACGATTCACGGTTAGAATATGTGTAAATATTATTACAGGTATCAAGTTGAAATTTATTAGAAAATGATACATGAGGATGGATTTAAAATATACGAAGGTGTTGCAATTACGGAGAAAAAATCATATTACTGCAAATAAACTCGAAAGATGGCGCTAAAAGTCACTTTGCACATATTTTGATATGCATGAACATATATGTGTATAAAGTCAATCTATTGTTTTCTTTGTAATAACAGTTTTTGACAAACTAATTAAATTAGTCTCACTAGAATAAAACACGAATAAGAACAACCATTGGACAGTTTCGTGAAAGTGAATAAATATTTTAGTTTTGTGTCTCATAAACTTATCTAAACAAAGTAAATAAGTTTTCTCAAAACTACGATACCCTATAAACTTCTTATTCAGGAGCAAACTGTCTTTTCTTCACCAAGATGCATTTTTAAAACTATAACGAAACTTCTTACGTAAGAACAGACACAACTTTTATGAAATGTAAAAATTATTATAGGGATCACTAACTGTGTTATTCGACATTATTGGGATCCCTAACTGTGTTATTCGACATTATTGGGATCCCTAACTGTGTTATTCGACATTATTGGGATCACTAACTGTGTCATTCGACATTATTGGGATCACTAACTGTGTTATTCGACATTATTGGGATCCCTAACTGTGTTATTCGACATTATTGGGATCCCTAACTGTGTTATTCGACATTATTGGGATCACTAACTGTGTCATTCGACATTATTGGGATCACTAACTGTGTTATTCGACAATGTTTCTGTTTTTTGGTGTAAAGAAGAAACCTAATAGTGATCATATTCTTTGTTTAAATTTATAGAAAGTATGTAGTACAAGGTATAAAGGTCATTCTCAAGTTACAGCCCATTAAATCGAGTGTTTTCATTCATGTTATTCAGTTTAAATCTATATAGATAATGTGCTTGAGTTTCTCTAATCGGAACTTTAACAAAACGCTACAAATCTCATATTGTTAGAAAGGCCTTTGTTCGGAGAGTCCGCATTGTATATTGGGTTTTCTATTCATAATCACCTTACCTGTTTTTTTCTTAGTCAAACTTTTTATTGCAACGAGTATGGTACACAATGTCGTTGTTCACGTAATGACTAGCTTCGATTTTAACTTTAGTCTTTTAATTGCAAAGTATTTCACACAAACAACACTTAACTTAACCCATTTCACACAAACAACACTTAAATTAACCCGCGTGTTATTTCCTAAAAAAAATGAACGTTACACTAAATACAATTTCTTTGGAATTTCTCGTCATATTTAGGCCTAAAATACGAATGCACAGTTCATTTAAAACCATAAGCTTATTATTTTATGTACGTGCAATCAGACGTTTCTGCATATTCAGCTGAGTTTGCCTTCAGTACAACTTTACATTGCAATAATTTAGTTTCGGTTCGTTTCATAGACTGATATAAACACCTTTCAGCTACTTTTTTCTTCACTACGGGTTTTATTCTTCGTTTTTGTGAATATCTTTGTTTCAGGTCGTAGAACCGTGTCATACTCTGCACACTATTAAATATACCATTATTATGCTGTATTGTTTACTTTACGTGTTTTTTATTAAATAAAGTTACGTCAACGTTGCTTAAATAGCGTGCGTGAAAATGATAGAATAGGGGAAATTCAAGTGAAGGGCATGAAATGTTTTGCGGGTCGCGTATAACCTAATAAACTTATGTGACCATCAACGATAAAGCTTAAATGTTGACTTACGTTCCTGATGTGCATTGGCGACATAAATGAGGTCATCAAAGTGGACTAGATCATAACCTCCTTTACTAGCAAGGTCGGTATCTGCGTACCCCAGGAGCTGCTTCCCTCTAGTGGCGAATACATACAATACATATATAAAACCGTATATATTGGTAAGGAGAAATGATGCTTTAAAATATACATATTTCTGGACTTAAATTGATCATAAATAACTTATCTCAAAATTTCAGAATAATTCGTATCTTATAGTAGATAAAATTACAAAATAGGTAACTTCAAATTAGGCATTTTAATAATTGAAACTATAATATTCATATATATATATGTGTGTAATATGCATATATATTCAAGTCCCGCAACTCCGTGACTAAAGCTAAGTTATGCATATAAATTATTTTTTTAAATACAAAATACTCGGTATCTTAGTGTCCTGCTAGTTAAGAGCGCTATTATTATTACATTATTAATGACAATGTAATTTCGGCTTTTGTAACTAAGGGAGTTTAATTTTAAAACACCGGAGATAGTGGAATATAAAACTTTTTAGACCTTCACAATAACTAAGAGGTAGATAATACATTATTTATACACGTCTGTGATGGTTAATAAAACGTAATTGCTAAGAATATAATGCACAAAAACATACATTAGTGAACCACAAACGTATGCTGAGTATCTGCGAACTTACAACGCTACAAACCGGGTTTCGATACACGTGGTGGGCAGAGCACAGATAGCCCATTGTTTGTTCTACGATGATGTTTGTGAAGATAATTAACTATTTTAATTCCAGCTATGATGCCAATAATCGTAGGCTTAATTAATTAATTTGTATTAATAACATGCTGCGTATTCCCAAATAATCGAGAAAAACGTAAACATAATTAAATCATATACTGATTTACTTATAGTTTTATGTTTTTTCTTGTTTTGTTTTTGAATTTCGCGGAAAGCTACACTAGGGCTATCTGTGCTAGCCGTCCCTAATTTAGCAGTGTAAGACTAGAGGGAAGGCAGCTAGTCCTCACCACCCACCGCCAACTCTTGGGCTACTCTTTTACCAACGAATAGTGGGGTTGACCGTCACATTATAACGCTCCCACGGCTGAAAGGGCGAGCATGTTTAGCGGGACGGGGATTCGAACCCGCGACCCTCAGATTGCGAGTCGAGCGCCCCAACCACCAGGCCATGCCGGGCCACTAGTTTTATGTAACAAGCATTTTTTTTCTCTTTTTCCTCTGAAGAAAAAAAAACTCGGTTGGTCAGCAATAAGTTTACCGAGTGAAAACGATTGAATTCGATTCTCCGTGATAGATAGAGGGCACTAAAATAAACAAATATAAAGCTGAATTTTCCTACTTAACACCAAGAGCAATTCTTAAAAAAAACAAATGTTTCTGTTGGTGTGATGAAGGTAAATTTTTTTCTTATAGTTTCTTAAACTAAAATTATGATATTTATAACCTTTGGTTAATTTAAAGAACAGAAAGTTTATTAACGCCTACCACACGTGCCAGCCCGGCATCTTGACATGGACAAAATAAGGAGTAATCCTGGAAAGGTTTGGGTTTTTGTGATTAGACATAAAGAAGACGTTTGGCACTATTGTCGAGGTCTAGGTCGCTGGACGTGACTCGAGACCATGAGCGTCAACATGGACAAGTTAACTTGTGTCAACGAGACATCTTTGAAATGTTCTAGATGTGGTTGTGAATGTGAGGGTTTAAGTGTAAAGAGTAAATTAAACTTTGGGTCGAGGTGGGACGAGGAAAGAACTTATTCCACATTCCAGCTGAATCTGAGATTCGTCAACTGATTGCTGTATTGACAGCGAAACATAAAATAACGGTCACAATAGTATCGTTATCTTCAAAAAGGGGGAACGGAATCATATATAAAAAAATCATTAGTTTCAATATTGTGTAAAACTAACGACACAGTAAAACCTAAAGATGTAATGTTGAAGTTGAAGCAGATGCACGGTGCATTACAAGATGGTTTACCTAGCGATTCTCGAATTAAAAATGTTGTTTCTACAATGAAGAGTAAATATCACAAGGATGGTATAATGCCCAGTACGGTACCATCATAGCATAATCCGTATAGATTTCATCGTGTCGTATAATGGCCAGTACGGTCCCACAATAGTATAATCCGTGTAGATTTCATATCTTCATTAATATTCAGTTGTTTTTTTTTAAGTTGTGCCGAGTTGATATCTATCAAAGTAACCCTAAATCATCGGTTTCCGTAATAACCCCCCTGTTGACCATCCTAGGCTCAATACTAAATGATGCTGGGCTGGTTAGTGTGACAGGTGTTAATAAATAACTTAAGTCTAACCCTGGTCCATGTAAACTACAGAAAGGTTATTAATAAATAACTTAAGTCTAACCCTGGTACACGTAAACTACAGAAAGGTTATTAATAAATAACTTAAGTCTATCCCTGGTACATGTAAACTACAGAAAGGTTATTAATAAATAACCTTAAGTCTAACCCTGGTACACGTAAACTACAGAAAGGTTATCAATAAATACCTTAAGTCTAACCCTGGTCCATGTAAACTACAGAAAGGTTATTGATAAATACCTTAAGTCTAACCCTGGTCCATGTAAACTACAGAAAGGTTATTGATAAATACCTTAAGTCTAACCCTGGCCCATGTAAACTACAGAAAGGTTATTAATAAATATCGGAAGTTTAACCTTGGATCCATGGAAACTACAGAGAGGTTGTTAATAAATATCGGAAGTTTAACCTTGGATCCATGGAAACTACAGAGAGGTTATTAATAAATATCGGAAGTTTAACCTTGGATCCATGGAAACTACAGAGAGGTCGAGTTTATGTTTGCTTTTGAACAACGATTCCTTATGAGGCATCTCCAACAATGACGGGGGACCGAATGGGGTACAGACAGCAAATAAAGCCAATGGTGGATCTTCAGTTCGGGGATGTTGGCCGTGTAGGATTTTTATCTTTCCTTGAATATCCAGCCTCTAAGTAAAGGAGACAGTTATATCTTTATGATGAAAACACAGCACTCCAAATTTATACTATGATATTACATAAAATGTTGAGTTTAATTGGAAATACAAAATATGATTTTACATCTTTGATTAATAATAAAAAATGTATATTAAGGAGATCATGGATGAAAACAATAATGTAATCAACAAAATGTTGTCATTCACCAATATTTGCAATATATAACCAGTTTTTAACACGTTAAAGCTGAATGTAAATGGTGCAATATCTGAGATCTATTTTTACCCAACATATAGTTTCAAATGTTCGTTAATGATTTCATGTAAATCAGAAGTGAATATACGATCCAGATTCAACATATATAACTTACCAAGAACCCTGATGTGTTGTCCAAAAGACATCGAAACCAACTGAATATACAATCCAGATTCAACATATATAACTTACCAAAAACCTTGATGTGATGTCTAAAAGACATCGAAACCGACTGAATATACAATCCAGATCAAACATATATAACTTACCAAAAACCTTGATGTGATGTCCAAAAGACATCGAAACCGACTGAATATACAATCCAGATTCAACATATATAACTTACCAAAAATCCTGATGTGTTGTCCAAAAGACATCGAAACCAACTGAATATACAATCCAGATTAAACATATATAACTTACCAAAAACCTTGATGTGATGTCTAAAAGACATCGAAA